TCAGATCATTGTTGTACACTAGAGCAGTATGGGACACAGCATCGTTCTGCAGTATTATCATTGGATACTGACTTCCAGTCACACAAAACAGCCTTTGGCCATGACCCTCTGCCTCCTGCCACTAAGTCACTTTTGAATACAAATTGCCCTGGATACATGACGTCTTATCATCGTGACCAGTCTCCCACATAACATCTTGTCAAAAGCCTTCCCAAAGTCCCTATATTGCTACACTACCCTCACCCACTCATCTAGTTAACTCCTTGGAGAAACTGTCAGACTTGGATTTCCCTAGCAAAGCCATGCTGACTATCATTGATTAATCCTTGTCTCTTCAAGTAGAGGTTAATTTTGCTTCTCCGAATTTGTTCCAAACTTTACACTACCAGTAATGGTGGACTCACTGGCCTATAGTTCCCTTGTTTATCTCTACCACTCTTTTTGAATGATGGTACCACATTAATTGTCCTCCAGTCTTCTGGCACCTCTCCTGTGGCCAGAGAGGATTTGAAAATTAATATCCAGGCCCTTGCAATTTCCTCTTGCTTTCCGTATCAATCTGGGATATTTCTCATCTGGGTTCAGGGATTTGTCCAATTTTGAAACCGCTAAAACCACCAGTCCCTTCTCTCTTTCTTTCAATACTAATTTGCTCAGTGACAGTCATCCCTGATTTCTATTTCTTTCTTTCTTTGTTGTACAATCTGATGCAAAATATTAATGTAAAACTTCACCTCCATATTTGGGCTGTGCACACAGATGGCCACTTTTGGTCTCTAACAGACACTATTCTTTGTCTGGTTATCATCTCGTCCCTAAAATAGAAAGCACTTTTTGGATTTTCCTTCATTTTAGCTCCCATTGTTTTTACGTGCCCCTCTTCACTCATAATATCTTTTCAAGTAACTCCTTGCAATTTCAATATTTTTCTTCAGCCCTATTAACTAAACTCTAAATAATATATTAATAGAAAGTAGAAATAACTTGGTCTTGCTGACCAGGTCCATTCACTTTCCTTTGTCCATAAATTCTTTCTTTCCCTGCGCTGCTTTAGAAATTTACATTTTTCAAGATTACAGCGGATGACAACACAGTCCCTCACTGCAGCTGCTGCACTGCCAAGCAACTCATCACTTTCCTGTGATGTTACTCTTTTGTTTCTTTTCAAAGCTGAGCAGCTCAGGCCAGGGCTCTTACACAAATCCAACTATACTTGTGTTGGGAAGGTGAAGAAGTTGGAGAATAAACCGAGGCTGTTTGGGGGGAAAAGTGATTGGGTAGTTGCACTTCCAACAATGCTCAAGATTGACAACATCCAGGAAAAAGCAGTATGCTGATTGGCACCCTTCAGCGTTCACTCCCTTCACCAGTGACACACTGGCAGCAGTGTGTACCATCTACAAGATGCACTGCAACAACTTGCCCAGACCTCTAATCTCTACAACATGAAGGACAGGGGCAGCAGAAGTATAGCAATGCCACCAATTGCAAGTTCCATCCCAGTGATCTACCACCCTTACTTGGAACTATATCACTGTTTCTTCATTGTTACTGATCAAAATCCTGAAATTCTCTTCCTAATAGCGTTGTGGGTGTACCTAACAACATGGATTGCAGTGGCCCAAGAATGCAGCTCACTTCCAACTTCTGCAGGGCAGTTTGGGGAAATGCTGTTTAGGGATAAATGCTGGCTTAGTCAGCGACATTCATGGTACATGAACAAATTTTAAGAATAAAAAGTTGGAAGGAGGAGTCAAAAACTTCTTTTTATGAACTTTTTTTGCGGTAATGAAGAAATTGCGTAGATTAATTTTCTTCAAACTTAGGGTAGGCGATAGCCTAGTGGTATTATCGCTAGACTATTAATCCAGAAACTCTGCTAATCTTCTGGGGATTTGGTTTCGAATCCCACCACAGCAGATGCTAGAATTTGATTCAAGAAAAAAAGTCTGGAATTAAGATCACCATGAAATCATTGTCGATTATCGGAAAAACCCATCTGGTTCACTGATGCCCTTCAGGGAAGGAAATCTGCCATCCTCATGACCTGGCCTGCACATGACTCCAGACCCACTGCAATGCGGTTGACTCACAGTTGCTCTCTGAAATGGCCCAGGAAGCCATTCAGTTGTACCATTCGCTACAAAGTCTCAAAGAATTGAAACCGGACAGATCACCTGGCATAGACCTAGGCAGAAAACACAACAGTGGAAACAGCCCTAAAAAGCCCTGCAAAGTCCTCCTCACTAACATCTAGGGGCTAGTGCCAAAATTGTGAGAGATGTCTCACAGACTAGTCAAGCAACAGCCTGACATAGTCCATACTCACAAAATCATACCTTTCAGACAATGTCCCAGACATCACCATCACCGTTCCTGGATATGTCCTGTCTCACCAGCAGGACCGAGTAGCAGAGGTGGCGGCACAGTGGTATACAGTTGGGAGGGAATAGCTCTGGGAGTCCTCCAATGTTGACGCTGAATCTCATGAAGTCTCATGTCTTCAGGTTAAACATGGGCAAGGAAACCTCTTGCTGACTACCGCACACCATCCTCCCTCAGGTGATGAATCAGTACTCCTCCATGTTGAGCAACACTTGGAGGAAGCACTGACGATACAAGGGCACAAATGTACTCTGGACAGAGGGTTTCAGTGACCACCACAAAGAGTTACTAGGCAGCAGTACTACTGATCGAGCTGGTTGTGTCCTAAAGGACGTGGCTGCTAGACTGGGTCTGCAGCAGGTGGTGAGGGAACCAACAAGAGGGGGAAAAAAAGCATACTTTACCTCATCCTTACCAATCTGCCAGCTGCAGTTGCATCTGTCCATGACAGTATCGGTAAGGGTGACCACTGCACGGTCTTTGTGGAGACGAAGTCTCGCCTTCTCATCGAGAATAACCTCCATCGTGTTGTGTGGCACTATCACCATGCTAAATGGGTCAGACTTCACACAGATCTAGCAACTCAAGACCGTGTATCCATGAGGTGCAATGGGCCTTCAACAGCAGCAGAATTGTATTCCGGCACAGTCCTGGCCTGGCATGTCCTCCACTCAACCGTTACCGTCAAGCTGGGGGATCAACCCTGGTTCGATGGAGTGTGCAGGAGGATATGCCAGGAGCAGCACCAGGCGTACCTGAAGATGAGGTGTCAATCTGGTGAACCACCAAACAGCATAAGCAACAAGTGATAGACAGAGCTGAGTGATTCCCCCCAACCAGCGGATCAGATCTAAGTTCTGCAGTCCTGCTACATCCAGTCATGAATAGTGGTGGACAATTAAACAACTCACTGGAGGAGGAGGCTCCACAAATATCCCCATCCTCAATAATGGAAGAGCCCAGCGCATCAGTGCAAAAGATAAGGCTGAAGGTTTCGCAGCAACCTTCAGCCAGAAGTGCCAAGTGGATGACCCATCTCGGCCTCCTCCAGTGGTCCCTAGCATTACAGATACCAGTCTTCAGCCAATTCGATTCACTCCATGTGATATCAAGAAACGGTTGGAGACGCTACATACTGCAAAGGCCACAGGCCCTGACAACATTCTGGCAATAGTACTGAAGATTTGTCTTCCAGAACTTGCTGCTCCCTTAGCCAAAAAATTGCCCAAGTATGTCCTGTACATAAAAAGCAGGACAAATCCAACCTGGCCAATTACCATCCCATCAGTCTACACCTGATATCAATGAAGTGATGGAACATGTCATCAACAGTACTATCAAGCAGCACCTGCTCAGTGACGCACAGCTTGGGTTCTACCAGAGCCGTTCACCTCCTGACCTCCTTACAACCTTGGTTCAAACATGGACAAAAAAGGTGAATTCCGGAGGTGAGATGAGAACGACAGCCCTTGACATCAAGGCTGCATTCGACTGGGTGTGGTATCAAGGAGCCCGAGCAAAACTGGAATCAATGGGTATCAGGGGACAAACTCTCTGGTGGTTTTATGTCATACCTCACACATAGGAAGATGGTCGTGGCTGTTGGAGGTCAATCATCTCAGCTCCAGGACATCTCTGCAGGAGTTCCTCAGGGTTGTGTTCTTGGCCCAACCATCTTCGCTGTTTAATTAATGACCTTTCTGCCATCATAAGGTCAAAGTGGGGATGTTCGCCAATTGATTACATAATGTTCAGCATCATTCACGACTCATCAAATAATGAAGCACTCCATGTTCAAATGCAGAAAAATTTGGACAGTATCCAGGCTTGGGGTGACACATGGCAAGTAACATTTGCGCCACACAAATGCCAGGCTATGACCATCACAAATAAGCGACAATCTAACCACCACCCCTTGGCATTCAATGGTGTTACCATCATTGAATCGCCCACTGTCAACATCCTGAGGGTTACAATTGACCAGAAACTGGACTGAACTCGCCACTTAAACATGGTGACTACAAGAGCAGGCCACAAGCTAGGAATACTGCAGCAAATGACTTACCTTCTGACTCCTCAAAGCCTGTCCACCATCTACGAGGCACCAGTCAGGACTGTGATGGAATACTCCCTACTTGACTGCATGAGTGCAGTCCCAACAATACTTACGAAGCTTGACACCATCCAGAACAAAGCAGCCTGCTTGATTTGGCACTCCCTCCGCCACCGACACTCAGCAGCAACAGTGTGTACCATCTACAAGATGCACTGTAGAAATTCACCAAATATACTCAGCACCTTCCAAACCCACAACCACTCCAATCTGGAAGGACAAGGGCAGCAGATGTATGGGAACACCACCACCTGCAAGTTCCCCTCCAAGCTGCTCACCATCCTGACTTGGAAATATATCGCCATTCCTTCACTGTGGCTGGGTCAAAATGCTGGAATTCCCTCCCTAATGGCATTGTGGGTCAACCCACAGTAGGTGGACTGCAGCAGCTCAAGAAGGCAGCTCACCGCCACTTTCTCCAGGGCAAGTAGGGACGGGCAATAAATGCTGACCAGCCAGCAACGTTCACATCCCACAAATGAATAAATAAAAACAAAACTTTTCATCAATTCCTTTTATTAAATGATAATGTCATTATGTGACTGCCACTTTGTATATTTGTGTTTAATGTTTTGGGAAATTCCTTTTTTTATGCACTACAAATACCAAACAGCCAGACTGTGTATGCAGGTAGTACATGTAATACAGGATGAAGTCCATGGAAACAGTGTGTCACATCCGATGAGCTGAGCTTGCCATCTGAAGAGTCTCTGTTCATCACTTACGAAGGCAGTGTGGCTTAGTCTAGGCATTCAAAGAAGTTGACATGAGCTCAGGACACTATTGTTTCTTGGTTCCTTGATGTTTTCACTGGAGTGTGGATTTTAAATACATTGCCAATTTGCAATTATAAACCAAGATGAGACTCATTACAAATTCTAATCATTTGACACAATGAATCAGAAACTGGACAGGTTTACTGAAGTTATTAACACACTGAATGAATTTATGCATGATTGATAATTTCTATTCACATTTGTCATTGCCTCCCCACACCACCAATACAGGATTACAGGAAAATTCAAATGGATGGATTATCTCTCAGCTCTCTGCTACCCATTATTCTAGTCTCAGGGCAGACGATTCCCTGCAACTGCTTTTGGTCTTGTTCATGATTTTTAGCTGCATCTTGCCCTCTTCCTATTTAGTTCTTATCTTGTTTTTGCTGCTGCTGCTGCTTTGCTGCTAGTGCTTGTGGATCAGGTCGGACTAATCATTCTGCAGGTGGCCTAAGTGATTGTTGATGACAGAGCTGAAAGTCTCCCACGTGACAGCCGTACATGAGCAGCCAGTATGGCTGTTTCTTTATTTCAAATTACTGGTTCCATTTCTTCAGTACTTGCTGCTCCTCCAATTATAGCTTCCCTCTCTGGAGGAGCAGGATTGAGGGAACCTCAGAAGAATTTGAAGCCAGGAGCCTGGTAGAGACAGACTATGATTAGAGGAGTAGATCCTCACTCTGCCTTGCTCAGCGCTCCTCCGGTCACAACTCTTTTTATTTTATCTCTCTCTTATGCTTGCATTATCAATTGTTCAACACCATTTGGAATTCAAAGGAGTAGGTGACTTTTCTCTATTTTGAATTTTTCTGGCCCATCTTTGATTTTTCACAGCGTACGTTTTTTTTCCTTATTGGTGCTCTTGAGGACAAATGTGCCAGCTGTTATCTATGTATTTTGAGCCCTGGGTCTCAAACATCTGTCTAGTGTGTTCAGGGAATAATTTGCCTTCCTGAACCTCAGAACAATATGGGGGAATGTGCTTTAGTTAGGATTCATAGATTCATATAGTGCAGAAAAGGCCCTTTGACCCGTCAAGTCTGCATCAACATAACTACCACTAAAAGAGTGCTGATCCCAATTTCCTGTACTTGTCCCATATCCTTGAATGTTACAATATTTGAAGTATTCATCTAAATTTTTTTTAAACTTTGCAAGGTTTCCAGCCTCCGCTACTTTCCTACTCAGTACATTCCAGATTCTCACCACCTGCTGAGTGAAGATTTTTTTCCCAAATTGCATCTGAATCTCCTGCCCCTTACCCTAGGCTATGCCGTCTTCTGATTGACCCCTCAACCAAGGGGAACAGCTGCTGTCTATTCACCTGTCCATTCCCCTCATAATCTCATACACCTCAATCATGACCCCCTTAGTTTTCTCTACTCTAAAGAAAATAATTCAAACTTATCCAATCTCTCCCTATAACTCAATTTCTTCACCCCAGACAACGTCTTGGTGAACCTCCTCTGTACCCCGCTTTAGTGCTATCACATCCTTCCTGTAGTGAAGTGACCAGTACTCAATACTGTGCCTGACCAACATTCTGTACAACTCCAACATTAGCTCCTTGCTCTTATACTGTATGCCACAACTGATGAAAGCAAACGTTCCATATGCTGCCTTCACTATCCTATTCATGTGCTCTGCTGACTTCAGGGATCTGTGAGTAATTATCCCAAAATCCCTCTGTTCCTCTAAGCTATCTAATGTCCTGCTATTTCATTAAATACTCCCACATCTTGTTTCTTCTTCCAAAGTGCGTTACCTCCTACTTACTAGAATTAAATACTGTCTGCTGCTGTCTGCCCATCTGACCAACCTATCTATATCTTCCTGCAGCATGCAACCATCTTTGCTATTAACCATTGTACCAATCTTCATGAAATCTGCAAATTTGCTTAACATTCCTTCCACATTTTCATCTATATCATTTGTGTGTGTATATAACAAATAATAAGGGTTTGAATACTGATCCTTGTGATATACCAGTCACTCAAACAGCCTTCTACCACCAAACCTTTTGTGTCCAATTACTAAGCCAGCTTCTGATCCATTTTGCCAAGTTTCCCTCAATTTCATGTGCTTTAACCTTCTCAATCAGTCTCCCATGTAGGACCTCGTCAAAAGCTTTGCTAAAATCCATATAGACCACATCAACTGAACTTCCCTCACATTGATCACGTTTTCAAAAAATTCTAACAAATTTTCTGGCATGACCTCCCTCTGACAAAGCCATGTTGATTACCCCTAATTAACCCATGCCTTTTCAAGGGATGTTAACTTACTGCTATGAGACTCAACAGTCTAATTTCCTGGTTCATCTCTACCCCGTCAGTGTTCGTTGTAGGCTGTATGTTGAAATTCTCATTTGAATTGTCTGCAGCAGAATTCTCATTCCGAGATGACACCTTGTCCGTGTGATCCTGGCTTCTTTCCCCACTTTCAGCACACCTTAAGCCTGATGTTTCTTTATGTGAGGATCCTGTGTTCGTGGTACATGTGCAACACATAATATACGATATCAATATGTAAGATGGTTGCTGTGACTGTGAAATTGGGGGCCAGTGTGCTTTCTTCACTGCCGCCTTGGTGTTTCTTCAGTGCTTTGTCAAGAGGCACTTCTTGGATATCTAAAAGAAAAAAAAGGGTAGGTTGAGAGAGGAGGGTTTTGAAGTGAGAGGTACATGTTTAAATCATCTGTGGCTTGTAACGTAGAAGTGAGTGCAGGATAAGGGAAAGAGGATTAGGTATGAGAATACTGTCATCTTGAATAGTTTCAACTCCACATCAGGCCACGACCTAAGCAACAGGTACACCACTACAGGCCAGCTCCTTCTCGGACATTTGGCCACATTAGGTACTGTCATCTCTGGTTATTTGTCACCTTGTCTTGCAAGGGAAAGGCAAATGTGTCAGTGAAATTGATGTGGCTGTCATGGTTGAGTAGTTGGTAGTCTGTGTGCGACCTTTGAGATGTGGGTTTGAAATGGAAAATACCTGTGTATATATACAGCCATTGTTCCACATCCACAAACTCACATCGTGAATTTTCACGTTTTGCGCCAAAAAATAAGCAACGAATCATTCAAAATCCACGAACAAAGCTCCCCTATCTGCAACCATTTTACTTGAGCAGCAACCTCGCTCTCGCTCTCCGAACTTTTACGCTATGCAGCCCTTCTCTTCAGTCCTCCACGAACAAGTGCGTAGGTGCTCGGGAGGAAGCACAGATTGAAGACATTTGTGGGGTGAAGGTGGGGAATGAGGGTGCATCATTGGGGAAGAGTGGCTGGGAGTGAGCCACGTCTGCAATGTTCACCCCTTCCCACACTCAGTAGCCACCCATAACCTCACCCAACAACTCCTAGCCATGCCACGGAGAACTTCTTGCCTTTGTTGATAAGTTTCAATACACTAGAATTGTTTCTAACATTTTATTCTATTAATATTAACTCTTATTTCAGATGTTTGTGTTTATTATTTGAACACAAAGAAATCCCAAAAGTAATAGACGAAAAGTAATAATCTTAAGGTCCAAGAACCTAATTCTATTTTTCCCATAAGTTATTAAGCTCCACACTCTCAAATTCATCATTCACAGGCATTTTCAGGAATGGAACCCTCGCGGCCACCGAGGAAAATTTTTAGAGGTTGTGTATATTCTCTATCATGTATCATCTGTCAGTTCTTCTCAAAATGTAACAGCTCTCAGGGATCAAATGTATTATAGAACTACTGGCTTGCTGTACCTACCAACCTGTTCAGCTTCTCCAGTTTTCTATATTTGTCTTTACAATGCTCTGTGTTTTAATGTCAGTTGCAAGTTTTTTTTTTTAAATATTGTGGAACATTTTTAAGTCCATAGAGTATCTGCACATCGTTATTATTTTCTGTCATCTGGCCAACTTCCAAAGCATTCCTTGTCTTAATACTGCACACCTTTAATATTGTCAAGAAACATCTCATGTCAAATTGTCTCAAACAGGTTTTGTTTTCTCAAAATGTCTAGTGGAAGTTTGCTATTGATATCTTCTCTGATTCAATTGTAAACAGGATTTTGTGATTTGAGTCACTTCCAGAAGTAGTCTAAGTATCTGGAGCTGATTCCCACTGGGAATTGTTTAGACCTCTAGCACAACCTCTACATTTAAGGATGATAAAATGATTATTGTCATAGCCACTTTTGCATTCTCTTTGGGTACCATAGAATTTGTGTTTGTTTTTATTATTCTCTGCATTTCCTGACGGGTACCTTCAGCATTCTAAGAAAAGGAAGATGGTTGTGGTTGTTACAGGTCAGTCATTTTCACCAAAGGACATCACTGCAGGAGTTCCTCTGGATAGAGTCTTAGATCCAACTTCATTAGTGACTTTCCCTCCAGTATAAGGCCATAGGTGGGGATATTTTCAACTCTTCAGATACTAAAGCAGCCAGTTTCCATATGCAGCAAAATCTGGATAACATGCAGGCTTGGGCTGGTAAGTAAAAATTGTGCCAAATAAGTGGCAGGCAGTGACCATCTCCAACAAGAGATAATCTAATCAGCATCTCTTGATGGTCAGTGGCATTACCATCGCTGAATTCCCACTATTAACATTGAGGACTTACCATTGACCAAAAACAGAACTGAACTGAACTGGCCATAAAATGCTGTGGTTACAAGAACGGGAAACAGGCTAGGAAATCTGAAATGAGCAGGTCACCTCTAGTCTCCCCAGCGACATTCCACTACCAACAGGCCCAATTCAGGAGTGTGATAAAATACTTTCCATTTGCTTGTACGATGGTAACACCGACAACACTCAAGTTTAACACCATTCTGGGAAAAGTAACCTGCTTGATTGGAATCATAATCACAACTTTGAACATTCAGTCCCTTAAAAGTCGATGCACAGTGCTTGTCATACATATAAGATGTACTGCAGCAGTAGTTCAAGATTCCTCCCAACAGCATTTTACAAACCTGTGACGTCTGCCGCTAGAATGAGCCAGGGTAGCAGATTCACCACCTCCTGCAAGAACCTTCCAAGGCGCACACGATCCTGACTCTGAACTATATTGCTTTTCCTTCATTTTAAGGCTGAGTAAAAATTAGCCGCATGCTTGTGTCTCTACCTCTCTAAGACTGCCACAGTTCAAGAAGGTAGCTCATTATCGCCATCTCCAGGGTAATTAGAACAAGCAACGAATACTGGCCTAGCCATCGATGTCCACATCCAGTAAAATAATAATTTTTAAAATATCACTTTGAGGAGTTGGAAGTAGCTGAGATCACACTGGACACTAATTTTTAAAGAGATGATTTTCCATTTTCTTTAACTTTATGCTTGGTGACCATAATTTAGAGTATTTGTATAATTACTGTTTGGATCGAATTTTTTTTAAACCAAACAACATTGATCTCTCTGATTTAAAGGGCATTGGGTTTGTGATCATTTATAAATTTATAGCAGTCACCCTTCCACCTGAATAATCCAGATGTATTCTTGAATGCTTGATTTCAGTATGCTTTCTTTTGAAACTGCAGTTAAGTAGAAAATGAAACTTTTTTTTTTGAATTGCTCATGAACTAAATGGAGGAGCTCCATTACATTGTACTGGTCAGTTATCTCACCAGATGGTCAGACAGAAAAGATCCAAGCTGGGTTGCTGCTACTTCTCGGTATGCTTGTAGGAAAGTGTACATTTCTCTTTTGATGGAGCAAGCATTTCAAATAACCCAGACTAATTCATGAATGTATGCTTGGTTCGTCTATGAAAAGATGACCAGTGCTTATGGATCAGAACTGCAGCATGGGTGATGCTTTAAGGAGTGGGAGTGAGGGAAAAAGAAATTGAGTCAAATGACGCTGATGAAAATGTAATCACACTTGAATTTTACAATTTTGAAATAAAATCATTGTCAATTTATACATTGTGCTCTGGGGGAGTAAAATCTCCAGTCCTCATCCTGTTTTATATTTTTAAATATTTTTAGGTATTTGATATTCTACTGTCCATATGACAAGTTCTACAAATGCTGCAATTTTTTACCATCAAAGTTATTTATTGCCGGTATGAAAGAAGTGACAAGAGCCCGCAAAATTGTTGCAGGTGTAATGGATGCACACAGCCGCTACAGAAATGGCTGGCTTGCAGTGATTGCTGTTGGATGGGCAAAAGGTGCGTAGCATTTTCATTCTTGGCTCTATCTTGTCAGGTTTGAACTTGTTTGTTTATTTTTGCCCCTGCCTTTCAGTTCTTAATGCACTAAGTTAACGTTCTGGCAACCATTCAGTTGGCACCAGTGGTTTCCTCTACCCTGATAGAAATTAGGAGGACTGCTGGATGACATTAGTCTAGTCTTTTAATAAATTACTATGCTGCAATCACTACTGTCACTGCTAATATCACCTCTTTGTGAAAATCAATGCAGTCTATTTCCAATTAAGTTTTTGTTTAAATGGTATGTTTCTGGTTTAGTATGTACAAAATTTCTTTTTTCACAGGTGCTGGTTCTGGGCTAATAGCTAACTTTGAACAACTAGTGCGGGGTGTCTGGATACCTGAGAGAAATGAGTTGCTGAGAATGTCCTAGTACGTAGTGGTTTTAAAATTATTAATTTGTTCTAACCAGTTCTGCACTGAAGTAACGATGAAAAATCCCTTTCAAATCGCTTCAGATTCTTTGCCTGCCTGTTATCAAGAAATTGTTTTGGACCTTCCATTTTGTGTTTTTTTTTCCTCCAATGATAGACTGTACTTTGTAATATAATTGCATTTTAAAAATGGGATATGATGCATTTAGTAAAGTTGGTAAACTGCAGGACAATTTAAAAAAAAAAAATCTATTATTTATCAGGATTTAAAAAGAAAATTGCAGTGATCTAAAAGAAGTCACTGAAAAGGCTTGACTGGAGCCTAAAAATCCTAAATTGCTAGAAAACATCAATTAATATCAAGCCTGGAATAGTAAGGATCCAACACCTATATGCAAATTATTTATTTTCTCTCTGGTCAGTGCAAAAGATATTGTGTTCATTCCCACTTTTCAAAGTACGAATGGAATGTCCTGTCATCTTACGAAGAGACAACAACATAGATGCAAGAGATAACAAGGTGCAGAGCTGGATGAACACAGCAGGCCAAGCAGCATCAGAGGAGCAGGAAGGCTGGCGTTTCAGGCATCTGCAGTTCCTGCTATTTCTGAAACATAGATGCAAGACCTTTTTTATTTAAAAAAAAAATGTCCTGAGTCTGATCTTTTGTTTTTCTACAAAAATACTTCATTTTAGATAACAAGGTTTTTTGAAGTTACCTTTTGCTATGTTGAGATTTTGATATTGTAGCTTATTCCAGCCACATTTTAGCCTTCAGATATTGCATGCTTTAAGTTACCAAATCTATATTGCTCCTCTCATCCCTTTTCCAAGCATCGTATTCCATTGTCTCTCAACTTTTGTCAACTACTGAAATTCTGCACAAGTAACAGTTACTAGTAAATGACTCTACTGGAATTTTAAAGCTGATTCCACTTCCAGATCTGACATTGAACATAGTTTTAGAAGAGCACATTTGTGTTTTGTGTGCTGAAATACATCACTCGGTTGTTGACTGCTTAATGTAGATTGGCATGTTGATAATTTCACTTGAGATTATACTTCAGATAAGAATGTTACAAAAAAGCGGTTAGAAAACTACACCTTTGCGAACCTTTATATGGAAAATTTTGAGCTATTTTATGTTTTGGATCACAATGTAGAGGATTTCTGGTGATCTAGCGAAGCATGCTAGCTTCTGCTGAGCATGATTTTCTCACCTAGACAGCTGATTGAAAGCACTTTTAGTACTGTTGTGTTCCAAGCTGCTCCAAAGATCTTATTTCTCAGAACCATAGAGGGAGGGAAAAAAATTAACGACGGTTTCTGCTCCTACCAGACAATGCACACTTGTGGATGTTGGTAATACCTAGTCCATGTTTGTAACTAGGCACAAAAACTCCAGCTTATTAACACTGATGTTGAATAGCAGTCAGAGTTGGGCAACAGAAGAGCTATGTTGTTCTCTTTGTGGAGTCACTCTGGAAGAGTTTCTGTTCTGATATGTATACTAATTATCCTGTTTCTGTTACAGTGGAACAAAGGTAACTCTGATAGGAGCTGTACTCTTTACTTTTCAACAGATGAATTATCTGCCTATTACCAAACACAACCTCATCTTTTTGTACACTATGTTTGTAGTTTCAACAGAGGTATGTAAACGTAATTAAACATGTGATTTTGCTATAGTTGAATACATTTTTCTTTTGAAAAATAAATATGGAGTAATATAACTAGATAAACCCTTTTTTATTTAACTTGTGTGAGATCATTTAACACTCTTTTTATCTGCAGTACTTGCAATTTATGTAGTCTGTTGTACTGTCTGACTTTCTAGCACTTTTTTGGGGGGTAGGAAACAAAAATAAATTGTGATGTCAGACTGGTGTTGAATTTTGTTTATTGCACCTTACGGTACAGATGGTACCTGCTTAATTTATATTTACTTAAATCTTCTGTAGACTGAGTATTATTTGGATCTTTAGTGCTGCACAAGAGTAAAAGTTTTCCAATGAAAATACCACTTTGTTTTTATTTAAAATCTCAATGCACTTAAATCTCTTCCCAAGGCATGTATGGTTTGTTTTTAGATTAGCTGATTTTTTTTTCTAATATGTGCTGTATCATTAGCAGTGTTGAGAAGGTGAAAGTATTCATTTTGAAATTTTAACATTTATATCTGTTTTACATATGTACTTTTCTCATCCCACCCTTTCCACGTCTGTGTCCTATTGCTTTGCACTGGACATCCTAAATAATCGAAGGTGTATCGAATTGAGTACAAAATGATACTGTAGCCCTGTGTGATTTATAGTGATAAATTTGTCATTATAGAAAGTAGCCATCATCCAAATGGTAGGCATTTCAGGAGTAAGGACACAACAGTAGCTTTAATTGTATTGCTAGTTAGGCAAAATGTCATGTAATTCATATGATAGCAGAGTGAAATGAATTTGGAGATGTAGCATTTTGTGCTTCTAGAGCTTATTTGATATTTGAAAAACAGACTGCATATATAGACTTGATGTACATGGTTCAGATATAATGAATGCTGGGATGAGCTGTTCAGAATTTTTTATAGACCTGTTCTCATGTTGGGTGTGAATTCTTTCATGTATTCTCTTCATTAGTAGCCTACTCTCTAAAATGCCCTTCTGAAGCAAGTCTAAATGGGTGAAAAAGGATATTCCAAGCATTAAATACTGTCCTGTACCTCTGCTATTGTAATGTGGTTTGTAATTTCTTCTTCCGTTGGGTTGCTGAAGATTGTTCATGTTTCGATCCCTATACATGCCTTAGTACTTTGTCTTGCAATCTATTCTTGTCTTTTCAAAAATTCAAGATATGTCTTCCCCCTCCTGTTGATGGTTTCAGCTGAATTCTATTTAAAATGCAGCCAGGTGATAAGCATGTCACCAACGTTAAGTTGGTTGAAATTGTTCCTGCTAAGGATGGAGAGAGAGGAAGGCTTAATTTTGCTGCCCTTTAAACAAATTACATTAAAGTATTTTTCTTAATATTGGTGTATTGATTATAACAATAAAACTCCTAATTGGATGAGCTTAAATCCTGTTTCTCTTCGTGCCATCATGATACAGCACTTTCAACTTGGAAAGAACCTTTGTTTTGCACTCAGGCATCTGCCTGACAATCTTGTGGGAGGGAAAGGAATGCCTTATTTAAGTGAAATTTTGAAGGGAAACTTAAACAATCAAGGTGAAAACTAAACCTGTTGGGATGTTTTTAAGATATGGTAGCTTGTGCATGTTTGTTTACTTGCTTTTGCCCCTTATGATATTTATATTGTGCTAGAAATAAACAAAAGTATTTAAAATCTGATCTCGTTAAATAAATCTGCTTTACTACAGGATAAATAGCAAATTGAAATTTAATTATTTCTGTGCATTTGTGTTACCAGTGTTTTCTGAATTCCATGATCAGGTATAGCTTTTAAAAGCTCAAATTTCCTAATGTTTGACTACAGGACCTTTTAGAAAAATTCTTTTTTATGTCACTTTTAAAGATAAAGCATATTGCT